TTGTAAGCATGAAAAACTCTGCAAATACATATGTTTGAGATAAAGCTATATGTATACATATTTTAAGTTTTCTGCATTCATGATACTAACAATTTTCATGAAGTTTGGAGTTATGACAATTTGTTTATGAGTGAAAAAAATACCAACAAAAAAAAATATTTGACTGCATTTTCGTCAAATTTGCTTTGTCATAAAGACCGTCACAACATAAAGTCAAAATTTTGCAAATATCCGCTCTTTGGGCTATACACCATTTATTGGCTAAATAAAAATATACATATGTACATATATGTATGTATGTATCAACACTATGTGTACACTATGAACTTACATATATACAATATATATATGTACACAGTTTAAAGCTATTAAACAATTTAGCATAGTGTGGAAGTGATACACAAATGTAACAATAACAACAACAACAACAACAACAATAGCATTTTTAACGACAAGCACTTGATCCATCAAAACCACACTTGAGCCATATTGACATTCTATGGAGTTATTGGTGTCTGTATATATGTATGAAAAATTACACCTAAATGTATCTGGCGCTTTACGCTCTTGAAGCGGCTTATCAGCTTAGCCAATGCAGTATACACACATAAATATACGAGTATTTCACATAAAGCTATGTAAATATAGATACAATGTATGTATGTAAGTGTGCTACAAACAAAGAAACAAACAAACAGTCAAACAAACTGGTTGACGAAGCAATTAAATGTGCCGCGAAAGGCAATTAATGTTAGAACTGTAACATTTTGAAAATATTTACCAACATATTGGCTATTCCCACCACAACAAAAAAAAAAAAAAAAAAAAAAAAAAAAAAATAAATAAATAAAAAAATTAAATAAAAAATTTCTTGCTTTTTCGCAGTGCAAATAAACGTTTGCATTTATGTATGTAAATACGTAAATTATTAAATAGCTAAAGATATTTGATTCGATGATACTCTGCGCTTTGGCTTATCCCTGACATTCTTTATCTCAAACACACGCGCATACACATGCACACATACATACGAGTATGTATGTATGTATGCTTACTGAACGGCAAATCTGCACTTAATTTTTCACCTTCTCAATTTCATATACTAATTTTTTTTTCTATTTCTTCCTCTTCAATTCATACATTTTTACTTCTCTTCTGCTTTAAACTTATTTCACTCTCGCTTGAAGCAAAAGGAGAAAAAAAACAACAAAATAACGCTTTTCATTATATCTGAAATGCAAATTAATTAGATTGTCTGCGCTGAGAACTTGGTATGAATGATTTTTTAATGCCAAATATTATTCGCAAACATGCATATGTATGTATGTTTGACTTGTCTTGCGACCGGTAAACCTAATAACATATTTCAAAAAAAAAAAAAGTAATAGAAAAATTAAAAAAAAAATATTTAAAAAAAGTGAAAAAAATTATGAATACATAAATACTTGTTATTTAATTCTTTCGATATTTTTTTTTTTTAAACTCGTCACAGTCGCATAAATTGCACACTTACGCGTATCTAAGCAGATGCAAATGTTGTTATGTAGATTTTGCCAATTGATATTTTATGCTGAGCTCTAAATAACCGGAACAGATTTGATTTTTTTTTTTGGTTTGCTGACGTTATCTTATTTTGGTTGGCGTTGTCTTTTAATATAGGGCTGCAATGAGGTGTAGTCGCGCACCCTGTGAACAAGAACAACCCTTGTAAAAGAAGCGACAACCTATCTGCGTGGAATCTTGGGCAGTTTCTAAAAGAGTGAGAGCTTCAGTTGATCGAAATATTCGGTTTAAGGGTTCACTGAAGTGTAATTTCAGATGATCGCTGGTTAAAAGTGACCAATTAATGCCCAACTCGTCTAGGTGGGACTGTGTCCTGGACTTGGAACCCGCTTTGCAGAAACAAGCTTCGATTGAAACATCAACTAAGTGTCGTATGAGTGCTTCCGATACCGATGACGACCTCTGCAAACTAATTAGGCACAATGATTTGAGGTATACACTTGTCCGATTCCTAATTGGGAAAGTGCCGTCGCCCAGCTGATTGATGTCGACATAAAAAGTAAGACTGATATCACCACCGTCAGGGGAAAAAAATTAATTATGCTCATAATGAATACCGAAAATATCTAAAATTCACTACTTGAAATTCTCTTTTATACGAAACTAGCAGGGTCTATTTGTTGAACGGTGTTAAGCTTCTCGGAAAGCAAGTATTGTATATGTTAATCTATATTTTCCAAGTCCCTGGACCTTCTCAAAATGAAATCTTTATAAAATGTTGGTCTCAATAAGATCTATATTTGGTCCGCTTCCTGGAACGGAATGAATTTGAAGTAAATCGAACCACAATGAATATTTTGTGCAATACATCAGCTTCAACTCTACTTCACGGAAAAAGTGGTCTTTAATTTAGGGGAAAAGCTGTGTACCAAGTTCAAAGTAAATCGAACAATGAAAATATTAATTGTTTAAAAATAAATATTTTGCATATTTTTTATTTAATTTCATAGTTTTAGAAAGCAGAAAATTTATTTTTTATAAATTGGTGTCGTCAAAGAAAGCAAATTTAAAAAAATCCTTTTATCTCAAATAGATACTATTTTCAAAAAAAATTTTGGGTGAACACCAAATATAACATCGACCTTGAAATCTAACGCAGAATCACTCATGCCAATAGGTGCTACTTCGGACTAAGTCGGCGCGAACAAATCTAAACTTCTTATTTTTCTGGATCATTTCACCAAAAACATAGCGACGGGTATATTAACTGGACAATGTTTAATGGGGCATCACGAAATTAGGATAGGCTTTTACTCTGACGATTTCTGCTACGGCTGTAGGGACGAAGAAGAGGAAGATTTAACATCCCAGCGACACAAGTTTCTTGGAAAACACTTCTCCGACTGTCTCGCTGAGTTGGCCTCATAAGACATACGAAATGGTTCGATCATTTGAGAAGGTGAAGGTAGTAGTCTCAGCGGTATCACAATGGGCCAATTGGCCTGAGTGTACTGGGGCCTGACCAGCAGCCGCATCAACTCAACTCAACTCAACTCAACTCAACTCAAGTAGACAATTAAAAAATAAAGTAATCTCTCGGCGAACGAAAATCAAACTCTACAAGTCGCTTATTCCTGCTATATTTCGCAGAAGCGTGAACGATGACAATATCTGTTGAATCAGCGTTAGAAGTTTTGAATAGAAAAGTTTTACGAACGGTTTATGGTATTCTACTCGTTTAAAACCGCAGACGGTGGAACGATAAGCTGTACGAGCTAAATGATGATATTGACATAGTTCGCCGAATTAAGAGACAGCGGCTACGTTGGCTAAGTTCTTGTCGTCTGAATGGTTGAAAGCACTCCAGCTTTGAAAGTATTCGATGCAGTGCCCGTTGGTGGAAGAAGAGGAAGACCTCCACTACGTTGGAAATATCAGTTGGAGAGTGACCTGGCTTCACTTGGTATTTCCAATGGGCGCCGGACAGCGAAGCGAAGAGATGAATGTCGCGCTAATATTCATTCGGCTATAATCGCGTATTACGTGTATGTCCAAACTTTATTCTAATTGAAAGTGCAAAGATTGTCAAAGACCCCTAATTAAACTTCATCTATGTCAGAGTATTAAGTTTTTTTGCTTGTGTGGATCACTAAACTCACCACCCCGCTCAACTTGAACTTATAAGAATCGATTTTGACTCGAACATACCTTTGTACCTACACACGATCTTTTTTTATATCCAAATCATACTAATTGTTGTCAATCGGTCGGTGCTCTCTTTCCCGTCATGAAAGTATATTATAATATATTTTGAACAAATCGAAATTGGCAAAATCTTTGGTCTCAATTCCAGGGAAAAAAATACTGCATTTAGTCATATCACCCACAAAGAAGTACAATTTTTTCGCAAAAAGTCATATATGTATGTGCCGAATTTCAAGTAAACCGAACCATAAATGAGGGTTTAACTGAAAAAAGTATTTCGTATGAACTTGGCCAAGAGCCATGGAAACAATCTGACAATATTTCAAGTCGATCGGTCGGTAACTTTTGAAAATTTGCTGATATATACAAATTGAACGTGAATTAACGGTTTTACAATATTTTCTTTTAGAGAGCACTCTCTTAATATGTCACCACTAATTTGGCTCATTAATGTTGAGGGCGGTCTTTTTTTAGATCACACCACAAGAAAAATCTCTTCTTTTTTTCAGTAGAGTGATAAACATTTCATGAATAATTGGTTCAGCAAAAAATGAAGTAAAGTGGAAAATTTTCGAAGCACACATAATTTTGCACATCTTCAAAATCAAACAACTAACCACAAAACACAACTAAACGTGATCAACTTGACCGCACAAAGTCGCCCCTAAGAAGTCGACCACACGCACAGATATTCAACGGCACATACATATGTACATGTTTGTGTATATATATATTTAGTTATAATCAACATAACCTAACCACAGTTGCAGTTGTTGCAATATACTTAATATATTTTAATCGCACAAAAACAATGCAACAGTAAGCTGTAGAGTATCACACATCTGACATAACGAGGCGGTTAACCCCCTAACCTAACCAAGCGATTGCGCTAACGTTCGTCGAAGCACCACCAGCCACACCAACACAAGCATCAACAAAGCGACGAGCACCTGTTGAAAAAAATAAAATACTTTTAGTGGCGGTAACATGCAAATACATGCAGACAAACACACATTCACACTTGACTGCAGTAGGCAATCAAACGATCAAACGATCTAAATACATGCAGACGAGCATGCATACATACACATATACACACGCAAAACGAGTGATCGAGCAATCGAGCGATCGAGCAACAATAGCGCTGCCTTCTAAAACTAGCTATAGTTGAGCAACAAAAGGTAAATAGAAGAAGAAGAAGAAGCAGAAGCAGAAGTACAAATTCTACACATATACAGATAAAAGCGAACGAGAATACAAACACTAACGCACTCCGCTCAGCGACACAAACCGCGACGAAACATTAAAAGACAGCACATTTGAATTGTCTTTAAAATTCGGTGTAATTATTTCTAGGTAAACTGTTTGTCTACTGACTTCATACAGTCAACAACGAACGCACTGGAGATCATCATCGGCGGTAAACGATAGACCACGACGACGCCGACAATTAAGAACGTCGACTAACAGTGCACACGAGTAAAACTCCTTCGTTATTTTTTTTTAGAAGCGACGTGTAGCTACGTCGCGTTAAAACTACTCGTACGTAAATAATATCCTTGTGCGTGCGAAAACAAGGTGCGGTGTGTTTAACGAAGCAAGAAAACAAATTTGCAAATTTAAACTAATTGTTTAAAAAAATTTAAACAATTTATTTAAGTATAAAATTTAAATAAAAAAAAAATTGCATTAAGAACATTGTGAAGTCTGTATACGGAATTCAATTGAGTAGGTTTTGTGAAATTCCTAAATGAGAATTTTACAAAACAAAAGGATTACCAAAATATAAAATAAACAAGTTTTTCGTAAAAGAAAACCCGAGAGGAGCGTAAGAGTTGAAGGTGAGATATTTTAAAGAAAAAGAATATAAAAATAAATAAAAACTAATATTAAAGAACTGGATAATATATTCTTTTGTTAAAAATATTGAAATTGCGCAATATTTTTTTTTTATAAAAACTGGAAAATGCAAGAAATTGTGCGATAAAATGCCATAACAAGTAGAATAATAATACAAATAGAAAGGACTAAAACAAGTGTGTGCAATGAAGCAAAAAATCATAAGGACTTACATAAATGCCTTGCAAATAAAATTCTGTTTAAAAATTTTGTGTTAAAAATTTATAATTAAAAATATTGTTTTTTTTTAAGTGCATGAATGATTATTCTGTAGAGCAGGTTGTTTTTTTTTTGGAAGAGGACGGACTCAATTTCAATAATAAATCTTTTTGTTGTTATTTATTTATTTGTTGTTCCAATTAGACAAAAAAATATAAGAGGAAAATAGAATTTGATTTTAAATAGATTCCTACAAATGTTTTTTTTTTTTGCGAAATAAATATATTAGGCGCGTGAGGCGAAGAAAAATGTTTACCGTCAGTGTGTCGTCATACCATTTGTACCTTGGCAAGGAATGTATTTCTGACATGAAATAAAGCTCCTCAAAAAAAAACCCCATCAGCCGTTTGGAGGTGGGTTAGTATAAACTGTAGGTCCCTCTATTTGTTGGAAAAACTTCAAGACACATAGCAAAAGCTGGAGAAGGAGCTTGGCCGGAAATAGCTTCAGCGGTTACAAAGAGCTTATTAATTATGAAAACTCCATAAACTGACATTAGTAGCAAGAATGGTCCAATTTGTATGCAATTCTTTTCGAAACTCGCACATCGTTTCCCGTAAATTTAAAAAAAAAAAACAAAAAAAGAATTTGTGTGCAAAAAGTCTTGTTAAAAATACACATTTAGAATTGTCTCTTTTCATTTACAAACTAAATTTCACTTTCATAGGATATTAAATTGGTTTTAAACCAAGAAGTTGAATAAAAGATTATCTATGAGTTTTGAAACTACAGATAAAAGTTTTCTAAATTTAAATTGACTGATAACAAAAAATATTTTCAATATGAAATTATAAGAAAAAAAAATATGGAATTATTTTATTATTATTTTTAGAACCTTAGGGATTAATTAAGGAAACGAGTTTTTATTTACAAAAATTCGATATCAATTAAATAGGTTGCTTTATTAAAAAAGGAAACATTTTAAATAAAGTGTCAACGTTCTCTCATTAGTTTTCGGTTCTAAATTTCAAACTTTAATTTTTCGGATTTTCTCTACCTTCCATGAAGGTATTTTTGCAACCACAGTGCGAATGAAATGAATAGATGGATAATAATTAAATCAACCTCGCAATAAGCACAGAAAATGACAAGAAAAATTACTAATAATAAACCCTAAAAAATTTGATCATTTTTGAAATAATTTTTGAGTAAAAAAGTGTTCAAAAGTTGATTTATTATATAATATAGGAATTTTTTTTCCTATTACAAATATTATATTCTCCTGAAGTAGAGAAGGATTGAAATAAAATATGTAAAATTCTTTTATTATTGTTTTTTTTGAATTTACTCTTTCTAATATTTTTGCATTTTAAAATTTTATTTCAATAATGAGTAAACAATAAATAAGATAAAAATTTAATTTAGAGAACTAACAACCCAAAGGGGTATATTTTCATTGCACAATACATACAATACAATAAATTAATGTTATTACAAAATAATAAAAATAAACAAAATATTTTTTTGGGCGAATTTCCTCAAACACTAAAAAAAAATGGTATTAAGGTGCCGTCAGACGTAGCAATTTTTATTTCCTTCACGAATTTTACTGTAATAAAATTCAATTGCGAGGTATGACTACGCGGTGAACTAGTTTCCGCAATTCAATTTCATGTAATTACAGAAATAAAATTTGCATTATGCGATTGCACTTATTTATCTGCAAAGTGATTACTGAAATTTATTTTTCAATTTCTTGTTTTTTTCTTCTCTTGAAATTACTGCCAAAAGGATTTTAGTATTGATAAGGAAAATGTTTGATACATTTTTGTGAAATAAGCTAATATCCAGTAATTGAAATGTAATTTCCATGAAATTCTTTATGCTGCAATTGACTGCTCTTGAAAATAAATTTCGAAATTTGTAATTTTTACAAGCAAATTGGGATTAATTAATTGCCATGTCTGACGGCATCTTTAATTTTTGAAAAAATGCAATTACATTGCACCATATAACCACTGCGCCATGGTATATCAATATGTATGTACACAAATTTTAAAAGTTGTGAAATATTCCTCTCTATGTATATATCATTTTAAACATACGTAAGTGCATAAATACATACATATACATACGGTGGTTCGATTGATTGCATATTCAATCAATAGCTCACGCGTTTTATTCTATATATTATGTATATATGTTTTTGTATGCAAAAAAGAAAAAAAATTGCATGCAAATATTGCTTAGAATTTTATTGAATTGCAAATTGTGTAACGCTACTTGCATTTATGTTTATTTGAATTTTTTGCTTGAAAAATTGACCAAAGTCTGAGCGTCATAAAATACCTTTAAGCTTTCATGCATGCGTGTTAAAGAAAATTGCATGAATTTTGCAATTCCAATATGTAAATATATGTATGTCTATGTGTGTGTGCCTGTATGCCCATTGCACTTTAGTTTTATATAGTTTATGGTATATATGTATGTATATGTAGCCGCTCTTGCTTTGTATGAAAAATATGCATTGCTCATGTCCTGTTGTTGTTTGTCAAAGAAGTCTTTTTAGTTCAAAGTCTGTTAGAAATTTTACATATTCTTATTAAGCAAATTAATTAGCATGTACGCAAAGATAGGTATAGTTATTGCTCTATGAAATTGTTGTAAAATTTTGTGTAATTATTAAGGTTCGAGAACATAGAAGAACCAAAGAATGGAAGATTGGATTTGAGTCAAGATATAGTTTTTGGAGAACATTTCACATAATTTTTAGTTATTCAATTACCTTGTTTCTATTTTGAAATACATAAATTAACAATCTAGATAACAAGTTCCTTAATGACGACAAAATAAGAGATTTTTTTCAATAGTACACGTGTTCACGTCTTTAACCATTTTAGCGACAAAGGTGCAACTTTTCTGTTCGGATGCCTCATATTTTTAAAAACCAACTCACTTTCTATTGTGTATATTATATATAGTTTTGGCTACAAATGAAATAATCTTTCTGTTATTAGATAATAGAAGTAAAGGAATTCAAACTGAGACTAACAATTGTTTTGAAACTATAGCGGTAAGGTTGAATAGTGGACTGTCACTGTCCAAAATACCATCTGCGCATTTCCGGTTTTCATGAATCCCCAACACAGTCCATAGTATTTCCCGTGCTGTACACTGATTACTTGCAACATTGCTGCTTTCAATACCATTTCAAGTGTTATTAACAAACGCTTCGGAAAGCGGGTTTGCTTTTGTTTTCGGAAATTATAACGATATAAACATTAATTTTACTCTACTTGTAAACTATATTAATAATTTTATTGCTTGCCCATGTCCTCTAGTTTATTCCACATCTGAATTAATTTTCTCACTTCTTTATATCCCTCCCTTTATTCCACTTCCGAATTAACTGTAAGTGCTACAAGTTTTTAACACAGTCGCAAATTACAAGTACACTAGTTATAAGCATTTAGTCAAAATATATATATTTCTTAAACTTACCCTTAGGCAGAGATCTTTCCCTCACCTTCGGTGATACCAAGGCGGGCATAAATACTGTAGTATCCTTTGGGCCGACAATTTAGAGTGTTAAGAATATAGATAGATTTTACTAGGGTAAAGAAAAAACGAATAAGTTTTAGAACTTACCAAACTTTTTGAAATTATAAATTTATTAACACTTAATATTGTTTATTTTTATTTGCAACTTCCTCTTTTACATTTACATTTCATTTGAATTTCTGCAAAAAAAATTGTAATTCGAACATATCTGCTAATAACTGTTTTTAAACCAGTAAATCACCTTTAGTTTGCTCAATAAAAAGGGCAAACTTGAAATCAATATTATTTACATACATATGTACAAATTTTTCCATAAACAAATAAATGCTACTCTCAATATTGGCAAGCATTTAACTATTGATTTCGTGCAAAACCAGTTTGGAGCATATAAATGATATACGAAGTAATACAAAAAAAATGAGCAAAAAAATTATAATAATAAAGAAAAAATTAATAACCAAGAGAAACCCCCGAAAAGTGTTTAACTTCCTAGTTGAAGTCAAAATGCTTATGAGTGTGGCTAGTGCGGGCGGCGGGTAAAATGAGTTGCGTGCCTTTGGGCTGTAGACACGGTAGTCAATAGAAAAGCATTACTATTACTCAGGCCAATGATTGTACTTATGGGCGAGTTATGTGTATGTACACCTATGTATAAGACAAGTACAAGAATTTTTGTTTTGTTTTGTTTTTAAGTAGTTATTGTTTTTGTTGTTAGAATAGAGATCACGTATAATTTACAAAAGTAGAAGTATTATAAATTATTCCAAGTTTTTGCAGACCATAAGTGGCATAATAAAAAACAATCTTATTAAAAATATTAATGAGCAGCAAGGAAAGAAAAAAAAAAAAAAAAAAAAACACCAACGAAACGTACGTCAACTGAATGAATCGATGAATCGATCAAATTGATTATTCACAATGTGCAATATGCCAATTCGTTTGCCATTTTGTATATTGATATTTTAGCGTTGATGATTTTTTTTTTTAATATTATCGTTTTAGGATGAGCCTGCTACACAACAGACAAATGAACATGCAAAAACGGGTATATAAAGTTTGAGTTCATGTATCATTCAAATATGTAAATCTATATGTCTGCTATGTGAGGTGTAAGCGGAACCTAAGCACATTCATAGGGACGAGCGTGTTAAAAAGTTGTGCTGCAGCTCATGATTAGTATGTACTGCATGCATGCGAAGACGCAAATGTGTGCGGCTCTTCG